AGGAAGCGCAACCGCTGTCGGCAGAAAACATGAAGACCCGGAAACGGCGACAAGTGGACAGAGGATGGTCGGTCGACAGAGAGGACGCCTCCATATCGTTACCGGCACAAGAGTATAGGATTTAGAGGAGAGACTGGCGCAGTGGCCGGCGGATTGGGCACGGTCTAGCTGGTTTGCACTGGTCAACTGCAATAGCGCCTTTGTAATCCGGCCCGAACGGATCAAGTTTGCAGGCGACGGGACTGCGCCTCAACCGCAAGAAATACCGGACCGGACGAGGGACGCGTGGGGCGGGCAGAGCAAGCAAGACGCACAAGCAAGGTGCTGATCCTGACAAGAACGTATTGGCCGAGTGAGGGTGTGTTGGCGATGGCACTTCGAGGACGGGCCGGGGTGTAGGATAACAGGAGCGTTATTCAGTTCGCTAGCAGGCGCTTCGATGGCCTGGTGATGAGATTCGTCAACGAGCGCGCTGGGGGGCGTGTGCATGGAGACGAGGGTGTGCTGGAGATACCGACTGCCAGAAGAGGTGCAGACTACAGCAGGACAACGAAGATGAAGAAGAAGGGGAAGAGAATTTCATGAGCAACAAGATAATATAATATAAGTGATGGCGATGGTGATTACAGCGTACGTCTGTGACGATGCTTCAGTGAGGGGACAAGCCTTACTGTAAGAGGTACACGGTGATGACGAGGGTGGACAATGAGAACGCCGTCGCCTGGGTGAAGGTGAAAGGGCAAGGGGCAAGAAAAAACGAGAATAGGGGACGACCATGAGGATTCGGGAGGCGTAGCAAGCGAAGGCAGGGGGTTCAAGGACAGACACACGAACCACGAAGGGAGGACACATGAAATAGCTGACAGAACAACACGACGGGAGGAAGGAGGCATCGCTGGCAACTTGAAATCGGAACCTCCAGGCATATTCGGTATAGGGACTGGGAGGCAAGGGGCTACGGCGATGAACAGAGATTAGATTTACGAAGCTACGCATGCGCGTGTGGAAGAATTGCAGCTTCAACAAAAAAAGCCGTACTCGGGGAGCTTGTAACATCTGAATGAAAACGTGAAACGTTATGTATGAGGCCGAAGTAGATTTGAAGAGCTGGCAGAGTAAATCTCGTAATGTTGCGCGTGCTAGGAATTAACGAGTCGACAATAAATGGGGAAGTTATAATTTCCAGAACATGTCACAGCCGTTCAGGAAGTAAAGCGGGGGCGACTAGCTTGGCAGTGATTTGAGTGCCTGAGGCAATTGTGAACAAGGAAGTGTGCTACTCAGCGCATTCATGGCATACGTTAGGGCGTAGGGTACGAGAAACCGCTTATCAAGGGACACTGGTTCCTATCACCGGGGACAATATGGACGCTGCTAGTGGCGCGCTCATAGCGTAACTGTTGAGGAAGACGGCAGAGGAAGTGCTGAGATGAAAAAATACATATGGTAGCCCAACATGGAAATTGCTGTGAGCAAAAGGGACATGGGAGGAACAGCGAGTAGGTGTAGGTTTGGTGCCCGGAACACTGCTATTCAAGCTTGGTTTTGATATGGCCAGTCAGGTTCTCGACCAAGGGACGAGGTTGAACGCCCTATTGTGAAGGGCCGGGGGAAGGAAGGGGGGAACTACCAAGCCTCGGGATCCCGATTTTGGGCGGGACAAACAATGAAAGGCAAGCTCGCGGAGGTACGAGACAAAAGCGGATGGGTGGGGTGTAAAAATTTGGCGTTGTTGACTAACCAAGACGCTAGAAGGACAAAGAGAAAAAGAACGGACGGCGTTCACTCGCGCCCACACCCGACAGAAACGAGCGCGAAGCGAGAACAGACAAGCACGCTTTGATAAGAGAGGGACACAGGCGAGTGAATAATCAAGACTGCAGAGAGAGGAGGGGGCAAGAGAGAGAGAGAGAGAGAGAGAGAGAGAGAGAGAGAGAGAGAGAGAGAGAGAGAGAGAGAGAGAGAGAGAGAGAGAGAGAGCAACAGCATCGTCGTGCCTTGTGCCCACCCACTTTCCACACCTTGCCCCGAAGGGAAGGAGAGAGGGGTGGGATTCGGTTAACAAGGGAAAACGGTCGTACTCTTGAAAAGGAGAGAGGTCAAGGTAAAGTGTTGTTGGCCATTGGCCAGAGCAATACATGGAAAGGCTGTCACGTTTGAGATAAGCATGTTAATTCGTAGCTTGAGCTGAAAACAGCAAGACCGACAGATGTAGGTATTTCGTGATCCTGGCCAGAACAATACATGGGTACGGTCGGCGGCTTGAGGTAAGCATATGAAGGGCTGGCGTAGAATACAAGAATGATTGGTAGCCGAGGTGAGCGTGTTTCTGAGAGACTCAAGACATGAAATGACGGACACGCCGAGGCAAGCATTTGGGGTGGCCGTGCGAGTTGTGGGCCGGGGCCTTGCCATCCCAATGGGAGAGCCACACCCCCAAACCCATGTCTTTCTATTGGGGTGCGACAAAAAAATGAAACGGGTACTTTGTGGAAGTGAGAGACAACGAAACAACGTCTTCAACAGATCTCCATAAATATTATCCCGGAAACAGCCAGGATCTCTCCAACAAACCAGTCGGGTTGATCAAAACTCGCCCTGAGAGTAGCAGCATTTACCGGGCACTACAAGAACATCAGTGGGACGTTCTTGCCTTCCCTCACCTGTCGATATAGTTCATCCGCCCGGTTGCTGAGCGACAGCGCCACATCGCTGTGCTCCGGCCCCAGAGCCTTCTGGTGCATTGCCTGCGACAACTCTGAAAGCGTCTCGGCCTCAGCATGCTTGCCCTGTGGAACAGTGTGGATCCGTGTGAGGGAGTGGGCCCACCACGAATAAGTGCTCGATCAACGGGGGTCCTCGCAGTATCGAGGGGACAGAATCAAGTCTGGCGTTACTCTAAAAATGACGCTCGGGGCTTGAGCACCGCGGCGACCGCAGTTGCCTCAACGGCTCTCACCCGACTGTCCAACAACAACAACACCTGGTCCCCGAGCACGACAACATCACTTCAACATATAACCCGGCAAACCGAACCAACATGTAGATTTTCTGTCCACCACAACAAATCCCCTGGATAGTTGACGCCTCTCACCTGCGCTCTCAAAACCCATGCCCGCATTTCGAGTCCAGGAGCTACTCTGGGTTGCTCACTCTCCAATGCCCCTTCCCAGATGCTGATGGCACGTTCGTTCAGAGGCTCGGCCTGCTCATGCTTGCCCTGGAATGAGGTATATTGTCCATAAGAACGTGGTCAAGGTTGCTTTTGCGGAGGAGTAAAGCCTCGCTACGACGACGCTCGGTTGTGCAGCACTCCACCGAGCACCATACGTTCCCTAGAAAAATGTGAAACCGAACCGCTCTCACCTGTCGACAGAGTAGCCACGCTCGCTTGTTGAGCGAACGGGCTACATCGGGATGCTCCGGACCCAGGGCTTTCTCCCGTATAGCCTGAGACCGCTCATAAAGTGGCCCCGCTTCGTCATACATCCCCTGGAAAGACCAAAATTGGTGAAGATATTCATTGTCCCACCACCGATAACCATGAGAAAGCATCCATACGCGGGAGTGGTGGTTGTCCTCCAATTTCCACAGTTGGTGGATGCGCGGGTCATTGTGAATAGGGATGCTCTGGAGACTGAAAACAGTGAAGTGCTCACGCAAATCTCGCACGTGCAACAAGTAGGAACGCATATCGCTAAGAAGCAGCGCGCTTCATTGATTGAACTAGCCGCCCTGACACGTACCGTGGTCCCTCTCTCGCGTGGACAGGCGCGCACGACGCAGGACGCATGACGTGCGGGTGAATATGTCTCGTACTTCTATTGAGGAATGGGGGCATATGCACCTCTTTCGGTGGGGGGTGCGATTGACCAGAGTGTTCTCACTAAACGTTCTTTGATAAAATATCCCCGGGGGTCCCAGAAGCTTCTCTCGTTGTATCCTGAACATTGCGACTGTTATACTCTTACAGAAACGATCGGTTTCGCAGCATAAACAACAAAGAAATGTATCGTGACACAGTACTGCCATCAACAAAAAGCGCCAAGCGCCACCTCATAAATCTAATGCCATGAGAGCAAAATACTCTCACCTGGCGATCCAACAACGCCGCTCGGCTGTTCAGCATTTGAGCAAGATTTGGGTGGTCTACGCCCAGAGTCTTCTCCACGATGTCAATAGCTCGAAGGTAATACGGGCCCGCCTCAGCATACTTGCCCTGGATCGGTATGGTCAAGGTATGCGGATCAGCGTGGTCAAGGATGTAAACATATACTTGCAGAGGGTTCTACAACTCGCCCGGGTTGTCCATAAGAATGAAATCAACGTCCAACCACTAGGAATTTCGATGAAAATCCTACGGTTCTTACCTGTCGATGCAACAAAACTGCCCAGCTCTGGAAATCTGCAGCAACCTTTGGGTGGTAAGGACCGTAAACCTTCTCATCAACGGCCATTGAGCGCTTGTATAGCGGCTCAGCCTCTTCATAGTTTCCCTGGAATGTCCCCGGCGAGCGCGAAACGAACGGATGTAACGTTTGAAAGGGGTTAGGCACGTTTCATTTGTTAAATGAGCAAACCGGTGGGTGATCCACCCGGGAACGGCATGGGTGATCCGGGCACAGAGTTCGTTCCCCGACCTCCAAAAGTCGAAAAAACGAAAGAGGGCCGCCTCTCTGAACTTGCAATGTGCGGTCAGGACAAAAAACGTTAGGAGTGTGGTCGCTTGACATGGCCCAGCTCAATCCGGAGAGAAAATGCTCCTTTGTGAAACAGTGATCCAGCGAGATCTAACAGTTGTTAAACGGCAATCAGCAAATATCTTGAGGTATTTCACTCTACACCCTGAGGTGCTGAACGTAATAAGTAGAGATTGTCTCGGAGAAACAAACCAGCACGCGACCAAGCAAAGGATCCCACGAAGTTCAAGAACGCGGTAATAACGTCACCTGCGCACTCAACAGCTCCGCCAGTCTGTTGAGCGACACGGCCACCTCGGGGTGGTCCGGACCCAGGACCTTCTCTTGTAAAGCCTGCGACCGCTCCAACAGTGGCTCGGCCGCAGCATACTTGCCCTATGAAACAAGGAGTGGATGCGTGTGAGGGAGTGGTCCACCAAGAACGAATGATAACGGGCCCTCACGAAAATTTTCCAGGCCTACAGTAATTCCTCGACTCTTGCCTGCCTCCAAACCAGGCCACCCGATTGTGCACCAATGACAAGAGGCGCATATGCTCCATATTGAGTTTTTTTAGGCTTCTCATGCGATGCGTTCTTTGGTGACGTTCCGAAACCAATTCGTTCACATAGAGAGCAAAACAGTTGCAATACCAGAAACCGAAACAAAACGTCTGGGGCTCCCCGCCTGGTTGGTCACCGAACTTTACTGGCAATCCCAGGAAATTTCGTATCCCTGCGGCGACCTAACCTACGCAAGCCTCCGTTCCGATAGAAGTTAACGCGATGCGTTCCGCCGCGCATCACACGTATCGCGCACAACTCTCTACACGGGGGGACATAAAATGATCGGGCGGCGGCGGCGGCCACTACGGCAATGAGGCGCATACGAGGGTTGAGGCGGGGATCATGCCGCGGCCGACTCTGCATGTGCTTCATAGCGATAGAGAGGGATTTGTGCTGGACTTGCGTGATCAATCAACCGTTCCGATCTCGAGACCATCACCATGGTCCCCGCAGCCACCATATGGCGTAGCCCACAGACGCCACCGTCAGAAGCACCGAACGAATAGCACATTGTTCTAGAGTTGCTCTAGCATATACCCTAACATCTACAAGGCTGAAAATCTCTTGGAAATTCTGACAATCCTCACCTGCGTTATCAACGTTTCCGCCCGATTGTTTAAGTCTAGAGCCACCCCTGGATGTTCTGGGCCACTAACGACCTGGTCGCTTGTAGCGGCTTCTCTCTGCAGACCGTCTTCTTCCCAACCCTGAAAACAGTTGGGGACAGAGGAAGTATTGTCACAGCTGTACAGCTGGCTCGACGAAGAAACCAATGTTAACAGCCGGTTTTTGGGTTGGTGGACGATGACGCAAAAGTTGGAGTCATTCACAGGCGCACGCACAGGATGTTCTTCATCTTAGTACTTACTCCGAAATTGGGGGGGGGAATGCGGCTTGAAGTACATGTAGTGCTCCATTCTTGAGAGTTTTACGACGGGACCATACGTGCTCAATACCTCCACCCGACCTAACGAACGCTTATTGCAGGCCCGGTGCTTGAGCAAATTGGAGGATTGTATTGTAACAACCTGGTGTTCTGACAGGAAGAATCTCCATTGGTAGGGTTATAAGAAACAAATCGGTTGTAGCTACGAGGTTGACGCAGTAGAAGAACAAGACAAAGGAGAAAAAACTGGGAGCCAGTCAGTCCAGCGACAGAGGGAAACGAGCACAGACAGAATTGACACAGACGCTTCGACAATAGTGGGGCGATCGGAGAGAGTAGTAGGAAAGAATATCGGGGAGAAGGCAAGATTGCTGCAGACGGGGAAATTGCAAGAATATCGTTGTGTCGTCTCCCCACTCACCATCCTAACTATTCCCCGACGGGAAGAAGAGAAAGGTGAGATTTGGCATACTATAGTAATGCTGTTCAACACGCTAGCAGGTGAGGATCAAGGTAAGCATGTTTCAGGCGCCGGCCGCATAGAAAGGCCGAGGGACGAGAAGGTGTGCAGCTCGCACGATAATGACATGGAACGACCGACTGGCGTGCGTCTGGTGAGGGATTATGCAGGAGATCTGCAATCAAAGCTCGGCGACCAGCTATTCTGTGGTCAGCTAGCCTTCTTACCTCGTAACACGTTTGGGTCTCTATTGAGTAGCGGCCTGGGGAAGAGGGGTAGAGGTCACCCCCAAAAACACCAGGCTTCCGATTTCCGCGGGGAAAAAACTAAAACACATACTTCTTGGGAGTTGGAGACGAATCGTTCATTGTCGCTGGTGTACACAGCAGGAATAACTCCATCCGGATGTGATAGACGACGACATTTATTGAGCACGACGAACCTGTTGTAACATTCTCACCTGTTGGTGCAACAACGTGGCCACGTTGCTGAGCGATACGTCAACATCAGGACCACCCATGTCCGGCACCTCTTCTCGCACGGTCTGTGGCTGCTCATGGAGTCGCTCAGCCTCGGCATACTCGCCCTGGAAAGTGACGGGGAAACGGGACGTGAGCGTGGTCAAGGCTCGAAAAACACTTGGTACGAAGGAACACAACTCTCATCAACGCGGCCGATTGTCAAGAACTGCAGCAACTTTTGGATGACCTCGCCCGAAGGAATTATCAGTTATCTCTCGACCCGAGTGCTGAGCACGACAGTTCCACACAGAACTTTCCCCGGAAAATAATGACGGCTCGTACCTGTCGATGCCGCAACGAAGCCCGGTTGCTAAGCGATGTCACCACAGGTGGGTAATCATGCCCTTGAAGATTCTCATATATCTCCTCAGCCCGTTGATAAAGCGGCTCAGCTTCCGAGTATTGGTCCTGTGCAACAGGCAGTGGGCTCATGTGAGGCATTGATCCACCGCAACACAAAACATTGCCGCAACAAATACGGGGTTACGAACGCCACGAAACTCCCTTCGATTTCCGCCTTACTCTCCCAGCAACCCAACCCTATTCTTGGGCATCGATGCGCCACTCATCAGAGCGTTGTGCGAACTCCGCATCACTCCTCCAAACCACTACACAACGTTTCTGGGTTAGGGTTAGGGTCATCTGGCTCTCCAACAACCCCTCACGGTTCGTCGGTCCTGCTGACACTCCCAAACATGACTCTTGGGGAAAGGTTTCGAGGAAGGCACTTACCATACCCCACGTTGAACGCACCTGCAGTAAGAACACGTCCCCGATTATCATGCAGGCATTGGCCACGTCTATTGGCTCATGTTCCTCGCCCAATTCCCGCAGGCTGGCCTCGTAGGTTTCCACGTCTAGCTTCTCGTTACCAGATAGCTTCATCACTGGCCGCCACAGGGAGATCAGGGAATACATACCTTCGAGGGACTCTCCCTTACGGCAGTACCGCCAGACCACAGGGAGCCTGCTCAGGTAGTGCGTTTGGCGCATCACTGCCAGCTGAACCACGCTGCTCTCGTGCTGGCACATGACGTCAATGAAGTCCAACAGCATGTCGTGAACAATAAAGGCTTCCTGCTCCTCAATCAAAAGAGAGCGCCCTACGAAGGCGCTCGCTTCTTTCTTGGCACCCTTCTCGTCCTGCAAGGAAACACCAGCAAGGGCATCGTATCGGCAAGGGCCACCGCGTGCGTGCACCAAGGTATTTCGACAGGAGACTTTCCTACTTTTCTAGTGTGAGGAAACGTTGAGACCGTCCGTGCAAGGACGCCCACAGAGCTGGGGTACTCTTGTCGCATACGAAGGATACTTAGCACCATTACCAAACACCACAAGCGTTGTCCAGAGGGGGGTCATGCTTCTTGGAAATATGCAACCGAGACCATGTCAAGCACGTGTGCACCTTGTCCCAGAGGTTGGCCAGCATTGCAACAGGTGCAGGGACTCCACGGGCGAGCACAGCCAGGCTGAGGAACGAGTCCTGCTCTTGCACCTTCAGCCGCTCGAAGCTCAGGCTCAGAACGGGGAACAGCGACGATTGTGATGGCTCCTCGTCGGAGTCAGTGGCCATCTCGAGACCCCGACTACTTCGTTTTATTCTCTCTATCTCTGAGTGAAGCTCGCGCCACGCCAGGGCGGAGTCTGGCGCTTCCCTGACGCACCTGAGCGACCCCGCTATCACGAGGGTCAGTGGATGACATCCGCAATCCCGGGCAACCTGTGATGCACATGTTGCGCGCAGGAATACAGCCGATTTCACGATTCAGAAAAATCGTGATGGTGGGGACTTTCGTAATCATTGGAGCTATGCCCAGCGAAAAAGACGAGCGCCCGTTTGCAAAGGCGAACGACAAACATCTCAGTTTGCTCGACTCGTGACGCACAAGGCATCGTACTTGGTTGGCCTCTGGCACCGGAAGCGCCACCGCCCCGCTCTTCTTGCTCAGCAGCTCACGGGCCTCTCCCTCTTCCATATCCCCAACGAGCATGCCGCGTCCTACCGAAGCGAGGCGGGTTGTAACCAGAATTTGGAGCCCCGTGGGTCGTAGAGCGTCCATGACCTCTTCATGCCATACGTCGTCCAGAACGAGGAGGCGAGGTACAGAGTTGTCCCTCGCAACAGCGAAAGCAATATCCCGTACGCAATCGTCCAGGCCATCCATATTCTCCGAGACGACATCCATCTCCCTCGCCAGCCGTTGAACGAGGGCAGGAAGCTTGAGGTTGCCATGACGCCCCACGTCTAACCAGAAAATCCCCCGCCCGAAGCGCTTCCGGACCTCCTCGTTCCTAACGACAGCGGTTGCTAGAACCGTCTTCCCAGCTCCCCCACTTCCTTGCAGCACATACGGGGATCGGGGCGCGTTAGCGGCCGTGAGATTGCCAACAACTTCGGATATCAGAGAATTGCGCTCCACGTAGCTCGCAGGCAGAGCTAGCGATACAGTCGGGGCTGCAGCCGTGTCTGCAGCGGGTGCTGCAGCCATGTCTGGGACGGGAGGACGCGTCGAGCTTCCCCCTCCCCCATGCTTCCAGCATACGCTTAACGCAATTGGAACAAGTACGACCAGGAGCAACAGCATCCACCAATTGAGGTTATGCCACGTAAAACCACCGTCGTGACCTGCCGCATTTCCAACGTCCAACGAGAATGTGGGTAACGGGTTGCTCAACTCCATCATTCCCAGGACTTGAATGGTCGCCAGCTGTCGCTGCATGTCCTTGTCGATGCGCTCGAGCTCCTCCGCAAGCTCCTTGTGAAGCCTGGCTCTGTCGGTTTTCTTGCGCAATCTCACGAGCAACGAATCCCCTGGCGAGGCCGTGTACTTTCTTATGAGAGCAGTTATCTCGTCGAAGTGTACTAGCAGCTTCGTCACCTCGGGCTCGATACGCCGATCGGATATTGACCCGAGCTTACTCTCGAACTGATTCACCACCCGCTCATAGTCATCCAAGCGTTCCCGCATGGCAGCCTTCACGTCACCAGCTCCTTGCAAAGCCTCGCGAGCCCTCCTGAGCGGGTCAATAAGGGTCGCCAGAATCGATACTCGACCCATCATGAAACTTGTTGCCCACGCGACAGCCCACGCGCAAGACGACCTACATGGGGCGCGAAACGGGTCGGAAAGTGCGAAAGGCGCGCGAGAGTTTCCTCAACAAACGATGACCTCGCGACTAATGAGCAGTGACGACGACAGGAACGTTAGCTTGGCAACAACGTGCCTGCACCGCTACGTGCAGGTGGGCACTAGGCTGCCAGCAAGAGTATCAAGACACAGAAGCGGTGCAAGCTGGTTGTAGCCGATGCCTCGCCCTGGCTGGTGGAAGGACATGTGTGCGCCGAATAAGCAATCCCATCGTGCTCTGAATAGTGGAGGTCGAGGGCAAAGTGAATGCCGAGAAGGTGTGGGTGTTGGACAACGTAGCCTAGTCGCTATCCATGAAGTGTTGAAGCATTCGACGCGTCAGCATGACATTCTTCGAAAAATGGAATTCCCAAGAGTATTCCCGAGCACTTTGTACGCTGAGTATAGGTGTTCTACAATTATTCTGTTGGGGGAAAGGCATTCTCGGCCCAAAATATCGACCACTGCAGGGATGCTACAAAACAACACTGGTGTTTTGCTATATTCAGCGAGACCCCCTTTCTAAATAACAGCCAGAAGAGTCCAACAGAAGTCAGATACCACATGACACGCAAGACTATCTTGTGGACTTTTGCATTTCGTTCCACAACCCCCTGCTGTGCCTGCCTTCGATATTAACCCGAGAGGAACTCTGCAGTCCGGTCCCTCTTATTTGTTGTGTAGTACAGTCCGGGATGGTAAGTTTACGAGCTTAGCCATTTGACCGCCGGGGGCAGTGAATAGCTCTCACAGCAATGCGGGTGAAAACAACAGTTACAGTATGCTCAGCGGCTAGGTTACGTTCAATTCATCCTGAGTAGTTTACACGTGCGGAGGGGAAGGCTGAGGACCAGCGTCAAAAGAAGGCATGCACAACAGAATAAGTCTTTTGTTTGACCCCAAATCGGAGCGGGTCAGCAGATACAGAGGAAAAGCCGCGTTTGTGCCGCGCTTTGCGTGTTTCTGCTGTAGGCGGCGTGTGGAGAGCAGCGCAGTACATGCCATGCGTTTCCGCTACACTGATTATCTCTTTGACGTGACGGCTTGTTTTCGCAGAGTAGGGTGGTGCCATGGGCTCGAGTGTCGTGCGTTCGACAAAAGCACGACGTCAGGTGGGTGTGGTGTGTTGCTCTTGAGCGTGATCTTTCGGTTATGGTACTGCGCACCCTTGGGCTTTTTTCGGTGCATTCCTTTCCAGTTTCTTGTTCACTGCATATATATACGATGCGCTTATCTATCGCCCCGTTCAGTTGACGTTTGTGTCAAAATACACAATCATTAGATTATGAAATGTACGCTTTACCTAACGTAACAATTGAGTAACCGTTATACTGCTAGGTGACGTCCATTCATCTTAGGAGTCGGGTCTGTCGCTTCTCTCAGGGGGGCGGTGTAAGCCGCCCAAACCCTTCACTCTCATGTGTCACAGCGTGGGAGGACATTTCTAAGTGTTGATCTACATAATTATTTTAGGAGCATTTTTTGTTCTTGAATTTTTTCGGCCCGTTCTGTACAGAAACACAGGTTTTGGCGTTTACGCGATATTTTCAGACCACCGTCCGTGGTGCGTGCCAAGTACAATGTAGATGTTGCTGGCGTGGGTAGGCTCTACATTGGTGGTGCTTGGAGTAGCCCAGTGTAGGTAGGTGTTGGGTGTTGGGTTTTGGGTGGTAACCGGTGTTAGTGCCTGGTTGGTGCAGCAGGTGCGCTGCAGCAGTGTGCTCTACACGGTCCGCATTGGCGGGACTGTCAACGGCGTACCAGGTGAGCAGCAGGGTAGAAATGGTTTGGGGGCGACAGGCGCGAGGGGAAGCGGGAAGCGGGGCACCGATCTCATGTTTCTCGCGAAGAGAAGGAAAGCGGTCACCTGCTTTCTGCATACCACTGCTGTATCGATGGGATGGACCATCTATGCAGGCACTTAGCTTGCTACTTGCTACCCACGTGCTGGGAAATCTGGCGCTTCTCACTTTTCCTAACATCATGCATACACCGGAGCAAGACGATGGGACAGACGTGGGGAAGAGCAACAGGCGCGTGCAATGGATGTGCACACACTTACCTGTGGACAGCCAATCGGTCGACGCGTTCTAGGTGAAGTAACCTGCCCACATTACGTCACGCAGGGGGAGATCCTTTGCTTGGCCCAGCCTAGCGTTGCTCGAGACAAATCCCTTGGCTCAAGTTGCTTGTTCTTCCGCCCTCCTTCCTTCCTGCCTTGGTTGCGTTGTGGCCACTGCAAAGCTCTTGGTGCCGTTTTCCCAGCACCTTGATTAGCCCCGCTACAGAGACCGAGCACTTAGACTATTGTGTTGGAACCTTGGTGCTTGGTTGTTAGAACGTTATTTTCTTGTCCGGAGTCACACTTGCTGCTCCTATCTACCATGCATTTTGGCGGATCCTCCGAGCCCGCTCTCGATAATGGGGAAATGGGGGTGTACAGCAGCAGTAACAACGGCGGGGGGGGGGGAGGTACGAAACAGCTGCCAGTTGCGTAGATTTTGGATTCGCCAGTTGCAAAAATTAAATAAAAATAAAAACACACACAGAAAGACTACCCATTCGAGATATACTCACAGCAGTGAACTGGATGTGGTGGAGTCTTTTCAGTGAGTGGAGGAAAACCGGCTGGCTGGGTGGACTTATTTCGAGTCTTTTAAGTCTATACACTGATGATTTATACCAGTGATGCCAGCTGGTGCTAAGTACAAAAACAAAAATAAACCGGAGAAAAAAAAAATGCTGTTTTTCTCTTTCGACTCCAGCAATCATCGGTAACCCTAACCCTAAGTACATAGACTATACCATCAAAGGCGACTTCATATCTACAGACAGTACGTAGGTGTCATTGTTCTGTTCTGGGGGGCATCAGCCATTCATTGATTCAATGGGACCTCAGTCTCAACAAGGCCAAGGAACTCACCCTCCTCGCCCTTGCATTCATTGGATCTAAATGTATATACATACAAGTTTTTTGGCGGCTTACGCCGCCACGCCCAATGGAGCGAGTCCCAAGGTACACGGGGATGGTACGTGTGGGGATCGTGGAAGGTTAAATGGAAGTTATGTGTCGTTGAGGATGCCCGTTTGACGTGCATGTCTGTCGCGTGACAACATGTTGGCACGTAGACATAAACTAACTGTATTAATGCAATCGACACGCTCAGACATACGCCAAATCCTACATGGCGACACCACACATACGATCGCAACCACCTAAAGACACACCAACGACCATGAAGGGTCGAACTCCCACGCTACTGACGCAACAAAGGACATACACACACCAAGATCGAACTTATATAAGCGGCAAAGCGGCAACGCTCGATCCCACCCAAAGACACGACACAGAACTCTCACGCTTGTGACGCAACAAAACGACACCAATAGTCGACAACGATCGCACCCGCGTAAAGACACGCCTACGACGATGCAGGATAGAACTCTCACGCTTCTGACGCAACAAAGGACATCCTCACACCAAGCTCGACACCAATAGGAGACAACGATCGCACCCACCTGAAGACATGCCTACGAACATGAAGTGTGGCACTCACACGGATCTGAAGCAACAAAGGACATTCTCACACCAGGCGTGTACCTCAATACGCAACTCCGACATACACTGGACACATTACTCTAACGCGATAGGCCTTTTGCCTCAATCCACCCGCCGTCGGCGCATTGGTTGGGATGGCGGGCATTAGCCTGGCCATTTGCGTGTGCGTTTTTGTCTGTGTCGTGTAGCCCAGGCGGCCCCATGTCTCGTCGGGTGTTGTTGCTGGTGTCGGTTGCGTGCATGTATCCGATGAAGTCGATGTACGAAGGCGGCAAGGACGGGGAATTGTTGGTAGAGTCAGTTGCAGCATCTACGAATGACGGGAATGTGATGTTAGCGACGAACGCGGCGCGGTTCAACGATCCTCGCAACCGTGATGATAATGCGAGACACATGATAGATGATCGCTCCTGGGCACGACTAAGTGCGACGTAACTGACCATGAGTGAAAACGTCAGCTCTCAAGTCAAGACCTATCTTGGAGAGTGTCTGTCCTTGACTTTTGTTGATGGTTAGCGCGTAGCACACTCGTAGTGGAAGTTGCAATCGCGAGAAAGCAATACCGTTGCTGCCGACTTTAGTCTTGAAGCGAATACGTGGGATGAGAACGAGCGTTGAGAGACCGTCTAGTAGTTCTACATGCACAATTCCTGTTGAGTATCCACGAACGATAGCCTTCTGACCATTGACGAAGCCCTGCTTGAAGTTTAGGTTTCGTGTGATCATCACCATGCAATTCAGTTTCAAATCCAAGGCATGAGGCGGTACACCAGAAACGTCAATAGCGTGGAGGTCAGCTGCGGCAACGAAACCCATACCATCGTCAGTCGCGTCAGGATCGACGGTGTCACAACTGTATGCTGTGAGAAGGTCTCCTGGAAGGATGTCAAGGACGTGTGCGTTAATGGTGTCTATGGTGGCGTTGGTTGACGAAAGGATGGCTCTCGCCTTGAACTCAGTCGGGTCGGCGGCGAGAAAAAAAAACAAAATGCACGAAGAATCGGCACGCATCAGTAAACCTCACCCCAATCCTGGCGTCCTCGGCCTCAACCTTCTCGATGAACCGGAAGGCCTGCTTGCCGTCCCTGCTGAGCTTGATCTTCAGCCCGAAGCAGTCCTTCCCACTTGTAGTGTTTGTTGACGTACGCTGAACATGAAACGAAAACGACACAAGAAGGGAAGAAAGAGCGGAGGAGGCAAAATGAAGAAGGACCGCCCGGAAGAAAAACCACAAAGGACGACCGCAAAGTAATAAAGCATACGTTGAACGCAAGACAAAACACCACACCGCACCGCTCTATTCCACATGTGTTTCGACGTCTGTACAGCAGCGGCGGCAGTAGTTTAATAAGCGGCATACGGAAAAACAACGAAGTAAAACCGAAACAAAGTCGCCTACGGAAAAACAACGAAGCGCGCCGCGCCCAGTCAAACAAACAATACGAAGACAATACGAAGCGAACTAAAATAAGCAGAGACATGAATGACATCACAACACGAATCGAGAAGGGAATAGATCACACGCAAGTTGCTTGCCGCTCTTAGTCTTGACGCCGTTAGGATTGGGTACGCCCAAGCAGAGGACGCCGGGCTTGATGTCCGACAGGCAAGTTGTGCAGGGCGAAGGCGCGGACAGGATGCTGATCTTGACGTCCCGAAATTTTCACAGCCTCCGAAGGTCGCACAACAGCGAGTCACGTTGGCTGACGGGCAGAGGGCGCACTTGCCGATGACCTCACCGAGAGTGTAGTCAGCTGTCTTCCGCTTGGTGCTGGGCGGAGTAGACGCAAAAATGTTGCGCGACGCCATGCATACTCGAGTGCGCGAAAGAATGGTGTGGGATGGAGTGGGAGCTTGCGCGGACGGCGCGAGGGCGCGCGTGAGCGGGAGCGAAAAACCTAAGAAGATCTACCGAACCTCACCGCCCGTTGACCGAACGCCGATGGATTCCGGAAAAAGATTCCGGAAAAAGATATTCATATGAGAAAATATAAAGATATGTTATTCATATGAGAAAAGAGCCGCACACACGTACGTGCAAAATATGTGTGACACACGTGTAAAAATTATAGGTATTATTGTGTGTGTGACAGAGGGAGATAGAGAGAGACAGAAAAAGAGACAGGAAACAAATGAGAGAGGGAGAAGGATTCCGGAAAAAGATTCCGGAAAAAGATATTCATATTATGAGAAAAGCTAAAGAAAATGTTATTCATATGAGAAAAGAGCCGCACACACGTGCACAATATGTGTGACACACGTGTAAAAATTATAGGTATTATTGTGTGTGTGACAGAGGGAGATAGAGAGAGACAGAAAAAGAGAGAAAGGAAACAAATGAGAGAGGGAGAAGGCAGAGAAAGACACACAGACAGACACAGAGACGGAGAGAGAATCACAGATAGAAACAGACAGAGAGAGAAACGGGAAAAAAATAAATATACCTTGTACCATAAAAATAAAGTTGTACCGCCCATTCGGACTCTGGTTCCGATTCTAATTCCGAGAGAGGAGAGAGAGAAAAAGCGCCGAAGAGAGAGAGAGAGAGAGAGAGAGAGCGTCTCTCACGACTCGACGGACGGCGAGACAGCGAGACCGGTAGAGAAAAAAGAAGGCAGAGACGAACGGAATGGCATTGGAGAGGACGATAGAGCACATCGGACCGAAGGAACTGCGCTCCGAGCGTCAAAATTGCGAAAACTGCAAAATGCGAAATGCCGGCCTGTCAGCGCTCGAACGGTCCGGACTGCACTCTGAAACCAAGTGAATAAGCGTGGTGGCCTGAGAGCGCTCGAGAGAGCGTTTCCCGGCCCGGAGAAAATGCTGCGATTCTAGGAAAAAGATAAATGAAATAACTGTTACATGCGTGTGCTGAGAGATAAATAGATGGCGACGAATAATGATGATGTGGTGAACAGAAACAATAGTACATGTTTTTCGTCCGGTGCCCCCTTTTTGCATCAAAGAAGGACTGACTGGCAACTACTTGTTGTGTGGTCAGCACGGGTACGCACCCGGAAAAGGTGCCTCGCAAACCTAGTAGTTAGTCCAAGTACCTTTCTCCCCCCCCCCCCCTCGAGGGCCAATAGAAGAAGTTTTTCGATTCTTCTTTTTTTCCCTTGTTTTCCCCCATGTTTTCCGTGTTATTTTTTTTATCGTGTGCAGTATGCATTCAACGCTGTACATACCACTACAGTACTGTATTGAACGTCAAAACTGGTCTAACCTGTCGTACACAGACAGTTGAAACACCGAGTGATGGCACTGAAACGCGCCAAGAACAATACAATAGTCTAATTAATGTTTTTTGGGAAACTGGTGGAGACCCAAGACACACACACGACAATCATCCGCATTATTATCATCATCCACTCCAACCACATCCTCGAATCGAGTTTTCAGTGAAACTAAAAACCCGGAGAGACATCACGCCGCTACGTGCGTGAACGAAGAACCCCCATGCTCGACGGAAACCGCGGAACATGTTCTTGACATGCAGGAGCGCGCAATCAGCTGAGAGTGCTGTACGTTCGTTCGCCTACCGTACCCGCCTACTGTGCGTACCACGTTCCAACATTCTCGCACCAAAATTTGCCACCCAAAACGAACGCCGTTTCGGGGTTCGTTTACCCCTCCTCGAACGTACGTCCGGCTCCTCTTCCTTCTCTTCCCTTCTCTCCCTCCCCCGTCTCCTCCTCTTCCTCTTCGTCCCCTTCCCCTTGGCTTCTCTCCCCCTTAGTACCCCGACCCCTACAGTATCCTCCCTCCCTCCCTTTTCCTCACTAACTACTACCTACCCTTGCCCCTTGTTCGCTGGACTCTGAGTCTACTTCTACAGCATATGCATTCCAAGAACGTGTTTGGCTATAGTCTTGCGCCGCAACAGCCGGGGCTTTGGTCTACGAACCCCCCTGAGGGTGCACTGACCATGCTCTCCCTCTCGCCTAGCTAGGCGGTACGCAACGCAGTGTGCAGGCGCGCGAGCGCCCGCGCAAGCGCACATGATGGCTACGGGGCAAGCAGATGCACAACAATAACCCCCCAACACCACGCGGCGCTCCTTTGACATTCACTTCTTTTTTGTTATTAATATTAGTTTTGTCTGCTACTGTATGTATATAGGACTTAGTACGGCGATTGGGGCAGGGTTTGGTCGGTTTGTACCCTCCCCCCCCCAAAAAAAAAACTCTCCAAAACAAAAAAACGTCGCCCGCCCGCTACTTCACCGCCTTCGCGGGAGAACTCAAGTTCACGAGGGAACAGAACCGGGGGTACGCAGACGCTATCCCTAACCCTTCCCGTGACCCAGCTTCCCCGATCGCATGCTTTATCCAACATGTTTACTTAATACAAAAACCCTACGAAGGTCACTTACAGCCTTGTGGCCAGATGAAGAACGAAGAAAACGAGCGGTAGTTGGAGATCTCCTTCATAAGGAAGGGTAGACTACAACTGTACAACCTCCCAAAAACTCTGTCGAGGACGACTCCCTCATTACACACGGGGTCGACGAAGAGGTAGTATATGCTTGTAGTGGAAGGCAAACCGGGTTCAATTCCGCCGGCACCCGCCATGAGTATTTTTATCGCCGAAGAATGGAAAAAATACTGCTCGTAGGATAAGCGCGTGCGTGCGTAATCTCACCCGTTACAACCCTCCTGAAATACAAGTATAACCAAAACCAATTACAAGTGCAGTTTTTCGGCAAGCCCGAATTGCTCGTGTCGTGTCGGTCCGCACGTAAACATACCCATAACATTACACCAACACATACGTATCAGCCACGGCACTTTCCGACCCACAAAACACAGTTCAACATCCGTCCCGGGGGGCCTAAAACCTAAAACCTAAAACCCCCATCTGAATCTGTTGCCAAACGGCACACTATTTCCAGCAGACGAGCGTGGACGTTCGAATTGTTGTCGTCAAGATGCTCGCGAGAGCATGAATGATAATCACACCGGCAAGGCCGACGACGGAGACACGCCGCACACGAACGACTTTTGCCTTTCCAAGAAATGGTTTCAACCAAGCAGAGGGCACTATACACCAAACTACCCTAGGTAGAGCGAGAGATGAGCCCTACGTAACAGGCACACCTTTCACCACAATGTGGTGCAATAAGACTAAATACGGAATACAACGACAGCAGTTACAGCAGTAGTGTGGAGCACTATTTTGCGACTTGTTCTGAATTGAGCTACCTTCCACATCCTAATCATAGCAGCCCCCCGTCGACTCTCCCAGGCCATCACGATCGCACACAGAGAGACCACATCGTGATGATGGTCCGATCCATTTAGTACAAGTCCTCCACGAAAATTGCTTGAAACTGCGCTTTGGTTGAGGGTCCATCGACCGTGTGAGAATTGTGAGGGGGTCAAGCGAACAACCTTCTCGCCAACAATGCGAGGCCATCGAAAGCTTGTCAGCCCGGTACGGACCATTAGCAACAAAAGCACTTAACTCTCTCTCACACACACACCTTGTCCAACGCGCTTCACACGACATGGCCGGCCGGGGAGACCATCCAACAGCCCGGTAAACATCAAGAATCGAAAAAATGGTCTGTTCTACCACAAGGTCGATGTGTCAGCACCTCATTCGGTACCATCTCATTGGCCTGCTTGAACGCTTTCTGAATAGATTTCGGCCTGAAGAAGCTGCAATCGCACCACAACTCGCTTGGCGGAAGGCCTTTTCTGGGGTGTTTGATGCCACATATCTTGAACCACCTGCAGAAACAAGATATTAACATTGTGAGTGTAACATGTCTTCATTCTATCGTAGTGTGAAGAGCGTATAATAGACCAAATCGTTGCCAGCGAAACTGCTGTGCAGCCGAGACATTTGTTTTGCACTTCAGGGAGACTACCTTGGCACCAAAGCAGAAGCGTGAATTCGTTCGTCGTGTTGTTGGGCGTGGTAAACCAGGATTCATGGAAGTTCATAACGTGAGACCTACACAGCATTCGACGTTTCCATTGAAACGTTTTCGTCGGGATTCGTGATACGATTGGCCCACCTTCATGAAGCCTTTGTGCCACGAGGGGTCTATCTCAGGCCGACCTTGTCTTGACATTGCCCTCGCCAAGAGCTCCGGGTTCCCCTCGTAAGGTAAGGACGCCGCCATTAGCGAGAAGAATATCATTGCCAAGCTGTAGATGTCGGACGCTGGTGTCAAGGGCTGGTCGCGGAACCGTTTTGACCCAGCGAGGGTAGGAGCCAAGTGGCATCAATCCAGCGGGTGATGTGGAATCAGTGCGTGCGTGTGAAAAACGACGGAGTGCGTGGAGACCTCAACTGGTATGCATACGTACGCATAGAGAGTATGAATCAACCTTCAAAATCCGACATACACTATTATCTACTAGAATTTTTTGTATCAAAATCAATGCCATCCTCGGTGCTGCTAGAATCGCGGGCGTCCTTCCACATATATCCCCCACCGCCACCATGTGGTGAAGGAACATGACCTCCATAAAGATCGTACATTTGGTGTATTCCATATTCCTTAATTCAGCGGGCTGGCGACATGAGAACACCATGCAATCCCTGAAAACATGAAACCGGACGGTGAAAAGAGTTACATGCATTGTCTACACCACTTTGATATTTTCAAAATTTCTTTGCCGCATTTTTTCTTGTTGGTGGGCTACATTGGGCAAACACTCATGATTGACTGCACACCAGAAACCTCCGGTGGTTGGGAATACTTCTAGAGAGAGGGACAACAACAAAACTTTCCTTGCACACCGATGCTGCTACACAATTGCAACCCATCGGCTACGGTACATATGAATAAAGAGAGCAATGCACCTCTCCGGCGTAGTTCTCAGGCGACGGCCAGGGCGTGGGCAGGTTCCTTTTGGTTGATTGTGCAGGACAAGCCGTCCCGTCACCAGCCTGGCTTATGCTCATGATGTGGGCGCTGTTGAAGTCGTTGAGCATCACGCGACCGTCGTCGTCGATGAGCAGCTGTTGCGGTTTCAGGTCGACATGAATGGAACCTGCGGTTTCGTGTAGGGCCTGCAAGGGATAGCAGGGATAGCAGCGACCCTTGAGCCATGCGTGCATAATCTTGGAAAATGGACAGCGGGCGGAGCATTCTCATCAGTAGGTCAAGCTGCTATAATACATACCTTTTCTCAAGCTGGGGGCGATGCTTGGAGGAAGGTCGGTCGGGTCCGTCCAAACCGCCAGGTGTTTCGTTTGTTAGGTCGAACTCTCCAGCCTTGACCTATCCGATCTTCAAGAGCAACAAGTTACATGACAAGTGGTCACCTGCAGTCCCCTCGCCGCATCCAGCGCCATGGAGACAACCGCTAGGTCCGGTAGTTCCATCCTTCCGCGAAATATCGCCCGCAGAAAGCTCGTGGTATAGTATTCCGTCACCACCATCGTGTCGCACAAACCAAGCATACCGACGATGTTTCGATGCCCCCTCATCTGACACGCACGTTTAAAAGGATAAACCGCCACCATCACTTGGTGCAATCCTAACTTCTCATTGCAGGTTGCCGTTTGAAGTAAACCAAACTCTATACTGGATCCTCTACAGAGTTGCTTCGACACAGCCACCGTTGCAAAGCCGGGCCTCCCCAGACGTTGCGCCATGAGAGCTTTCCTAAATTCCTAGCAAGAACTTGACAGTTGCGGTCAAATTTTACTGTACATACCAGTGCCAACACCGCGGTTTCCGGGGCTGGACCTGCTCGCGAATGTCTTATCGTTTACAACGTTTGGAGCGGTCTGCCTCACGAAAATTTCGGAATTGCTTCGTATTTCTCAGTCTCCTGGAAATGTTGTAGCTCTCACTGAGTCTTCTCTCGACTACTCACCTCTTGTGCTAGAGACAAGTAGCTTTTGGCTCGATCTCTTACTCAGACATCGTTTTCGCCATACCCCCGCCCAAGGTTTCCGTCGAGACGACTTTTTCGTGGTGGGTGAAAGGTACAATTTTTCCTCGCAGACCGAAGAGCTGATTGGGAATCATGCTCGGGGCAGGCTGCTCCAAAACTCGTGAACGCCAAGATTTTCGCGAGGAAGATTGTGTCCCGGTGAAAAGCGTAGGAATAGTTTTTGTGATATGTAGCTCCGACGAAGCTCAATGGCCCAATTATTGCAAAATTGGGGAAACATGGGCATAGCCACCGTTGGGGGTCTGGACAAGATTCGCTTGTCTCAGCATGGCAGGGACCCCAAGGTACAGTTACTTGCTTTTGCTTTGGACAGTGGCGTGAAGAGTATGATCTGTTCGTCCCGTCCTCGGGGTGCACTCAGCAAAGCTCACGCCAGTCCACTCACCGCGTCAAGGGTTAAAATCTCCCGCTTGTGTTTCTCGAGATGCACCCTTTGGCTCCTACTATCGTCCATGTTCCGCAGGGTCTTGAGCGCCACCTTTCTCCCCTCATACTCCACCAAATACACATCGCGGACTCTGCCGTTGCCCACCAAGGTTGTGTTTCCCGCCAGCATGTTCTGTGCAATCGTGCAGAAAGGGTATCGCGCGCGAAGATCATAGAGGTAGCCGTAGCCGTTCATAAAGCAATGTAACAGATATGCAGCTGTTGAAGTCAAGAACAGGGGGAGAGGCAAGTGCTCGGTGTCGGGGAGAGCATGTCAAGTCAAGTGTTCCGCTTTACCATTGGCCAACCCAGTCTATCTACAGTAGTCTATGTGTGATGCAGGTCTTTCCAGGCGATGATTCCTCAAAATGTCCGCACAAAAGAGAGTTCCAAACCAAGGAAATACTACAGTGCACCCTTTCGTTTTATGTGCCTCCCTAGCATGTCCTCCGAGCAGAAGCATACGTTTTACGACAATTCAGGATGGTCAACAGATAGAGCATGTCTTCGGGCGACCCAGACAGCAACACAGCGATGCAGGTATTATACTCCCATCTACACTCGCGCGGTATTGAGTCTTGCCTGGATTTCTTTGCATCCATAATCGTAGTTTGCTGGGTCCACCACCCTATCCCACAACGGACTTGGTGTGCACGGCTCTCCTGCTTCCGTCACGTCCACGTGATACAGCTTCCTCCTTCTCCTCCCCCTGCCTCTCCTCCTACCGCTATCTTGTCCGGCGCTCGGGGAAGCATCCAGGTGTTCGGTTGTGGCCGTTGTGTTTGTTGCAACCGCTGCCCAGCCTTGTGACGGGACCGATGCCGCAAACATGATGGCCACAAGGACCATCACCTCCAAGGTTGTGATGGCTGCAAGCATGCGGCGGACTTCATACCAGGCAAAAGACGAGGATGTGGCGAACGCCTCCGTCATTGCTCCTCCCAAAACCACGCTGATCGATGCGGGGACGGGGCAACAACGTCGAGCGTACCGCGAACCGATTGATGATGATGTATTTTATATTTTGTTGTCGCTGGTTGCGGTGCCCGTGCACAAGAATAGCCTGTGGAGCGCGTGCTAGGATATACACTCGTATCGTCCGTGCATGCGCCTAAAACCCTTCAACATCTTGGTCGGATAACTAACGAAAGCAAATACCTGGAAAATTGTACCATGCATGCATGTTCTATTATCGTCGCACTGAACACGAACATGCGAAGGCCGCCAATGCTCACCGAATGCGTCGAATTTTATTTTCGATTCGTGGTAGATTTCTTTTCGAAACTTTCCCCTCCCGGGAGGGGAGGGGCTGTGTTTGTGTCCGGAGTTGTTTTCGCTTAGAATATAACCACCGCAGTACCTTACACTTGCCTAACTCCACCCTCACGTCCACACTCACATATCTCGTCTCACCCCCCACGAAGAAAGCATGGGGCGGACGTCTACAACCTTAACTCAACGGAAACTCCCCCGCGTCCGGACCCTGTATTTTCCATGCGTAGTGTTACAGTAGTCTACAAAGTTTACAGTGGATTGCGCAAGAGTTCGCACCTCCCTGGGCCGATTGCTAAACTCCGATTACAGGGCTACCTCAGCACAGTATACATGGAAGCGAAACAGCAGTGACGATGCGGAAAAATGGCTGTGCGTCGGAACCACCTCGTCGAGAGCTTTCCGAAAAGGTAGAATTTCGGTGGTGTCGCATCTCATGCAGCAACAATAATAACATGCATACAGCAATAGTGGTACAGGGTTGTTCACCGAACGTTTTTCTTCTGCAAAACGCTCCGCTTCGCTCCGTGAGACTTTCAAATTACATAATACCGCTCCCCGCTTCGTACATGAGCAAAAAAAACGCTCCTCTCCAAGTCCGTTCCGTGAGAATTTTGTCTTCGAATCAACCCCTCTGCTCCGCTCCGTGAGGTTTTGCAATACTCCCTACAAGCGCGTTTTTCGCGGAACGGTCTGAGCTACTCCGCCACATAATCGCCGGTTGACACCGCAAAATACGCGGTTCAAATCGCAATGCAGCCTCGGTATTTTTCCACCGAGTCACACGGGTCTTGCGCATCGTGAGTTTCACGTATGCGTAAGAAGACATGATTTTGATGTGTGTGCACGGACTTCCGCGTACACACCCACAGAAAAAGGAAAAGGAAAAAACAAACAAAAAAACAATGCGCACCTACCTGTACCTACGTGCGTACCGCCCGCCCACATACACCATACATACACCTTTGCATGGACGAATGGCAGCGCTAGTTGCCCAATAGGTGAGAGGGGGGTTGCATGGTTGGGTTCGTGTACAACTATTGTTGGCAGGCAATGACGCCCACGACCGTGTCGAGATGGCTATGTTCCTCAGGAGACGAAACGGCAGTTGGACCATATGTATTTCTGGTATTGAGTTGAGGAAACTGCTTGCAGCTCAGTCTGTTGGGAAGGCTAAAGTTGCAACTGTCGGAGCTGCCAAATAGTGCGGGAGAGCGAGGGGTTGTCGAGTTCGAATCTGACCGCGAGTAGCAGGGACGTCTGTCTGCATTTGAGCGTAGTGCTGTCCTACGAAAAATCAACACAAATCGAATGGACGTTCAATACTACTCTTCTTGTGCTTCTTCGGCTGCTATTAAATACGTGAATGGAAAAAACGCTAGAATCGAGGAAAACCATCGTCCTGTGCTAATGATGCTATGGCTGGGGCTGTATGTTGGTGTTGGAAATACCATAAATGCTGATCATTGATGACTCATATTGGTCACAGCAGTTGCGCAAAAAGTTTGGAAACTTTTGCTTTTGACGATGATCAAGCTTTTGGTGCACGCTCTGGCCGCGGTTTCGCGGAGTTTTTCTTTTGACAATAATCCAAGCTTTTGTTGCACGCTCTGGCCGGCTTCGCGGAGTGGTATGAAGGTTGTGTACCTGCTTCTCGTCGGTCGTTGCTCAATAAACAATAAATGATTACGCGTCCGCCTTACTCAACAGTGCGCCGAGGAATACTTCCCTTCCCCCCACACAGAACGCGCCACCAAAAACCGCTTATTTTGCGTGACGCTCGCGCTTGTTGGTTGCCTCAAACCGAGCCTGTGTTCTTTGTTTCCAGGTTTTTTCTTAGAGCAGGCCTCTGCCTTGGATGAGCGGGGTTCTTGTTCAGATTTCGACGCCGATTGCCCCAAGAGAGCACATGGGTCTTTGTGGGTGGATTTCAACGTGGCACCAAGAGAAGAGTACAAAAGCGGGTTGAACACCGGCAGAAAATCGGGGACCCCCCACGCCCGCCTCAGTTCGAATGTGAAATGAATTCGCCTGCGAGTGCGAAGACCGGGTTCATGTGGTTGCGGAGTGCCTGTTGTTCGACAGGGAGAGAGAAATGTACTCCATGTCTGAGCTGGGAAAATAGAAGGAATTTAATGCACACAGGGAGATGTTTGAGGCATGTAACAGCCAGGAGAGAATGCGTTAAAAGGTAGGGACCCCGTTTTTAGCCACCTTTGGGCTAATGAGGAAGGAGCGCTTGGCCATATTTGATCGGTCCTGTGCACACATAGGACACATCGTGAGCTAGCTCACCTATGCCCTACAGATCACCATGGAGCAACCATACCCCGATCCCCTACGCCATTCAGATCATCATGGAGCGAACACCCCGATCACCTATGTCATTCAGATCACCATGGACCGAACATACCCCGATCACGTGTGTCATTCAGATCTCCGCTGTGTTGTCCATCGCAATAGCTCTAGCGCAGGTTCGCCAACGCTTTGTGCGTGACTACGGCTGTACCACATCCCGGCGTGATAGGGGGCTCTGTGGATATATATGTTCTTTGGGGGGGCTGGTATCTTGCGTGACCATGTGATATGCCGGTGCTTTTTCCAGAGGTGAAAAATATCACACGAGATTCTTTACGTTTTGTTAGGGGTGTCGTATCTTCTGTGGGTGTGGTATACTATGTCACCTATAAAGGTATGTCCTTCAGATCACCTCTGGCAAAAACACGCCGATCGTTATGTCTTTCAGATCACCTCGGGCAAACATGCACCGATCACCATGGAGCAGGCATACCCCGATCACCTATGTCCTACCGATCACCATGAAACAAACAGCCCCGATCACCTATGCCCTTCTGATTATCATGGAGCAAACATAAACATTCCCCCATCACATATGTCCTTCAGATCACCATGGCGCAAACACACCCCGATCACCTATGCCCTTCTGATTATCATGGAGCAAACATAAACATTCCCCCATCACATATGTCCTTCAGATCACCATGGCGCAAACACACCCCGATCACGTATGTCCTTCAGATCACCATGGAGCAAACATAAACATCCCCAATCACCTACAGTATGTCCTACCGATCACCATAAAACAAACATACCACGATCACCTACCGTAAACTACGGAGTTTCCCCCACCTGGTAGAGTTCCCCTTCCCCGCCATTACCTTTTCGGCCTGGAAGCATGGTTTCTTTGATTCAGCCCCGGGGTAGATCGTTTTCGACCAAAAAAAAATAAATATCCTCCGGGTATTCAATTTCCCCCCGGGTACCAGTTTTCCCACGACTCCCCCCGGGGGGCATGTATTTCCCTTATTTTCTGAGTCGATTTGGTAGCATCGCGGAGCACAGAACGCATGATATGGGACGGAAAATTCATTTGCAGATCTGTTCTTCGAGCTAGCGGGTACTCTCTGGAAGGCGGGCCCTTCCTCTTCTTGGAATCACTTGCGGGACGAGACAATCTCCCCCAGCTGCTGTCCTCCTTGCTGTCTTTTTTCTCTTCGCGTTCGTTGCTCTTACATTCCTCCTCCCCCTGCTTGTTAAACGCTTGCTCGTAACCTTACCCATCTCAGTTTCGTCACTCTCTGTGCGTGTGCTGTGTGGACCATCATTACCGTAAACGTTGGAGTTTTCCCTCCGGGGAGGGGATTGTTTTTTTTTCTGAGACGAAAACCCCCCGGGGGGAAAGTGACGTGCCGGGGGGGGGTAGACTTTTGTTTTCCAACGCTACCCCGGGGGAAGCCCCCCCCCGGGGGGTTGTGCACAATAATGATGGTCCACACAGCACACGCACAGAGAGTGACGAAACTGAGATGGGTAAGGTTTACGAGCAAGCATTTAACAAGCAGGGGGAGGAGGAACGTAAGAGCAACGAACGCGAAGAGAAAAAAGACAGCAAGGAGGACAGCA